GTGTCTACACCAGCTTCTCATAACTTACTCCCTGTGAACCAGCCTCCTCTCCCTTCCACCACCACCCCCGTCATCTCTCCAGGCTGGTCCCTGCCTCCGGCTCCGGTGGCCTCCAGAGCATCCCTCCAGGCCGCATCTTACTGAAATAACAGATCTGGCCTCACCACTTCCCTTTAAGCCTTCATGACTCCCCACTGCCAGCATAAAGGACACCCTTCAACTGACTCCTCCCATCTCCCCACCCCAGGCCTCCCAGACCAAACCCAAATTCTACAGCCTCCATGCAAGGCTCTTCAGCTCCTGGGGGTTCGAGGTGGCCTCATGTTTGAGAACTAAAAAAATAGGGGCTTCAGAGTCTGGGGGATGTCTTGCCGACTCGTGGGCTCTCACACCGGGCAGCAGGCGGGGCTGGGACAGAACGTCTCAGCCTTTGAGTCTCCGGTAGCATTTATTCCAACAGGTAAACCAGGCCTCTCTCTAAACAAAACCGATCGTCATCACCAGACCAAGCTTCTCAACACGAGGCTTTGGGACTAGAACAGTATTAATAACGCCTACATGTACGGTACATGTGTGGCCCTTTGCAGGTTTATTTGACATTCTGGACCATCTCTGGTGGTTAACAGAATTCTCTGCATTTTATTTTTGAGCATATTGAGGCTCAAACAGGCGAAGTGGTTTGTCCAACGTCAAGCAGCTTACAGGATTCAAACCTGGGGCTGGTTTCGCTGTGGTCTGCCGGCTAGGGCAGAACCACTCACACACCAGAGTCCTCACCAGCCCCACTACCCTCTGCAGACCGCACAGCCCTGGGCTCAGCCTGAGGATGAGCAGGACAAAAGGGTGGGAGTGAGTGAAGAGAGGCCAGCGGGAACGCACGGAAGCAGCCAGACGGCTGAATGCGGGATGATGGCGACTTTTCCCTTGCTTCCTTTACAGTCACAGACACACTGTTCTCTTCAGTGGACTTATCTTACAAAAGCAGCAGCAGAACTGAGCCGCTCAGAGTCCAGGCTCTGGAACGGACCTCCCGGCCATGTCCGCTGTGGACCACCTTCCCAAGGACTAAGGGAAACAGCGCGTGCTGAATGCTCGGCTCAAAACACGGGAACCCCACTGGTAGTGGCGGCGTCTCATTTTCTAAAACACTGGGTGATCTCCTAAGCAGCCAGTACTGGGAGTAAGGAGGGCAGGGAGCAGTCTTTCAATTTTCATTTAACAGCTCTGAATCATTTACACTTTTCTGTTGTTTCATGACATCTGTTTTTTTAAATCGTGGGGAAATACACGTAACATAAAATTTATTATTTTCACTAGTTTATAAAGTCTCCGGTTCAGTGGCCCTAAGTGCATTCACCGTTGTGCGACCATCACACTATCCAGCTCCAGAACTTCTTCATCTTCTCAAACT